TTTCCTCATTTCTTCTACTATTTTTGCACAATTTTTTTAATATCGCTGATAATTCAAAAATGATCGAGCTACAAGGGACATGTCACAACTGTCCGGAACCGATTTGATTCTCCTTGAAATATGTTGTTAAATACACAAATCTAAAAGACACGTATTTTTTTATACGTGCGCAATTTGAGTTTTAAGGGGTGAAACACCCCTTTAAAGAATAACGGTATTTTTCTTTAGGATCAAATATCTGCTAAACTATAAGAGATATAAAGAAAAACGTACAACAAATTTTAATGGCTTGAAGAGTACTTTAAAGTTATATGAACAAAAATTTTTTTTTTTTTTTTTTTTTTTAAAAAACCCTCACCACCTAATTTTTTTTTTCAAATTAAAAATTTGTTTTACCTAATTTAAAGCTTATTTTTTTCCAAATTCAACCATGTGTAATAAAGTTATGTTACGAAATATCATTTTCGAAAATTAATTATAAACGCTCCCGTATATACGCTCATCCGTGCTATGTGCGTAAGTAATTACCGTCGAACAATAAAATATATAAAAAATGTTTTTGTATAATTCTTATTTATGTTTTCTATGTATTTATAACTGTGTATTGTGTATATTTAGATTTTTTTAAAAATGTATTTGCATTTTATATTATTCACTCATTATACACATTACAATAATGATATTCGACAAAAAAATGTTTCAAACATAATGACTTCTTGCACCAAGAACATCTTACTACAGCTATATTATTGCAACCTTCGATATCACATTTTGTTAAAGTTTCGTCTAAACTAAAGTGTACTGGATTTTCGAATTCGTCTGGTCTTTCATTCGTATAACCACTTTTAAACCACGAATATTTAAATAAGTTTTGATATCGTGGGGATGACAATTGATTATGTATCAAAGATTGCAATTTTATTATATTATTTCGTTCATGTAAGTTTATATTACTTTCCAACAGTAAAACCGCATCTGAAAATCTTTTAGCAAAATTTTTTCCAAATTCTGAATCCATAAACATCTAATGGTTGTATTTTCCCTGTAGTTCCTTTCGGTATTATCATAGTAGTAATATGTGTTCCAGGAGGTGTTAAATCCGAAATCATATTGGGGCAATGTCCAGTCCATGAATCGATAAGAAGAACGCTATTAGGACCAATGTTTGCGAAATAAGCTTCTTCTAACCACATTTTAAAATGATCTGTACAAAATATAAATGTTAATTTAATAGTTTTTTTTGACTCTTATTAAATTGTTAAATAAAATAAGGTTGTTAAAAAAGTAATTATAAAAGGAAAATACCTGATGTCATTTTACCAGATTTCGATGCTTTTACAATAACATTTTCTGCTTTAAATAAATTTTCTTGTACTCTTGGTCCAAATTTACCATTAGCTTCTTTTAATACAATAAATAAAGGGGACAACAAATTGCCATTACAGGATATTATTGGTTGTATCGTATATGAATGGGTTGTTGATGATATGGATTGCACGACACGTTCTACTTTCTTTTCTCCCTGGTTAGACAATGATCTTCCAGAGTGAAGTTCCAATTGGAAACCACTTTGATCTGAATTGTAAATATTTTCAGATCCAAACTGTTCAATAAGAGGTTTTACTGTTTCCAGAAAATCATCAGCTGATTTTTGCAAATCAGCAGAATCTTCTAATGTTCTTCTAGTGACAAACTTCGTAACTTTTCTTGAAACAATTCGGTGAGACTTCTTAAATCTTGCTATCCAACTGTGAGATGCTTTAAATATAGGATTTAAATTTCCTATTTCTTCTTGAGCTTGTAAAGCCCATCTTTTTAAATCAATATCATGAACCATGAATCCTGATTCGACAGCTGCAGTAAATTTATCATGTGTAAATTTGGAGATGTAAGATAATTTTTCTGTACGACTTCCACCTGATTGTATTTGTTCTTCCCATCGCCTTAACTGACGTTCAGATGAAACTCTTCTAAATTTATTTTGTACTACTCTTAGAGGACGATTCCTTTTTCTGTCATTACTGTTTTCATCAGTGTCCCGAAATCGCCAATACTCAACAGCTCGTCTTTTATAAGAACTATCAAAATTTGTATCATCATTTGAACAATGAGGATGAGAATTTAAACTATCTTCATGCCATGCTTCTTCGTCATCTTCAATTATTTCAAAACTATGTAATTTATAAGGTTCTTCATAATCGAGATATATTTCTTCCGTTACTTCCACCCCATTATAATGAAAAACGCTATCCAGTAATATTTTTTTAATGTTTTCCTTTAATTCCACTTCTGCTTCAGTTACTGGCGTTTCTGTTAAATATATTGAATTTATTGACACCAATAAAAGTCTAACAACGTTAAGCGGATTGATAATCATATTCAAAGATGTTATATTTTGCTTTCTATTGCAATAAAAGAACAGTTTACACAGATATTATTACAACGAAAAGACTACACCGACTGTGAGAATTATGCTGCTACATGAACAATTTATATTAACTTATCAGAAATACGTCATCACATAATCTTATTTTATTATTTATTTTAACGTATTAAAGATTTTATTGTAAAAATTATAACTTATCTGGAACACGTACACATAATCTTATCTTATGATTCATTTAACGTAAGATATAAAATTTGTTTATGCCAAATATTGCGACATTGGTATTCGCAAGATTCAATAAAAAATAATTTTATTATAAAATATAATTGTTTTTAATTTTTATAGAAGAAATTAAATATTAAAGAAATAATAAGAAAGCAGGGGGTATATTTAAAAAATTCTTATTAATTATATTTAAAAATTTTTTTTTTAATCTAAATATACACAATACGCAGTTATAAATACATAGAAAACATAAATAAGAATTATACAAAAACATTTTTTATATATTTTATTGTTCGACGGTAATTACTTACGCACATAGCACGGATGAGCGTATATACGGGAGCGTTTATAATTAATTTTCGAAAATGATATTTCGTAACATAACTTTATTACACATGGTTGAATTTGGAAAAAAATAAGCTTTAAATTAGGTAAAACAAAATTTTTAATTTTGAAAAAAAAATTAGGTGGTGAGGGTTTTTTAAAAAAAAAAAAAAAAAAAAAATTTTTGTTCATATAACTTTAAAGTACTCTTCAAGCCATTAAAATTTGTTGTACGTTTTTTCTTTATATCTCTTATAGTTTAGCAGATATTTGATCCTAAAGAAAATACCGTTATTCTTTAAAGGGGTGTTTCACCCCTTAAAACTCAAATTGCGCACGTATAAAAAAATACGTGTCTTTTAGATTTGTGTATTTAACAACATATTTCAAGGAGAATCAAATCGGTTCCGGACAGTTGTGACATGTCCCTTGTTAGAAAGAGAAGAAACAGCGATGATTCTCTTATCTTACATTTAATTCGCCGACTATCCAGCATTGTTACAGCACACGTTACATGACACCAAACATCTACTTTGTCGTACTCGATTAGTACTAATGATTACTCACTCGCATAACTCACGTTTTTTTTTTTTTTTTGCATAAAATATTCCCATTACGAATTTGATTGCTCTGCTTTTTATCCGCGGCGATATTTACAGAATATAGTTCGCAAGTTACCTTACACTTTAGGCAGTCTCTGATAGGGAAAGTGAGAAAGGAAGAAAGAGAGAGAGAACGCATTGACAAGGTGTCTTCGAACAATCAGAGATATCGATGATCACGATATATTAGATGATTTAGTTCTCTCTAAACGTGGGACGGAAGGTTTTTTCATCGTCTATCGTTAAAGATTTAGCGTACTCTACTCTCTTAATGGAACTTGATATCGTGTCGGTTGAAGGAGAATTGAGGGTCTGATCGATTGCTATCTCGCAATGCTCGATTCTTGTAATAATTCAAGACTTAACATAAACGAGACTGTACACGCAAAAAGAATGGAAAGAACTCGTTTCGCCAGATAATTTTCACCTCCAGATGTGATCAGAGAAAAACTCCATTTTTATACATTCTTTCGTAGATTATATTTAAGTTATTTTACAGGATGAGAATTTGCACGAAAATGTAATTTTGAGAATAAAGCGTTTACAGTCCATTTATGTAAAATGTTTAATTATTCGTACGTTAAAAAAAATTATTTTGATTGCATCACATGAAGGAAAAAATTTTCTTCGACACGATCGAAAATTAATAAATTAGACCTAATTTTTCGATTTAGGATTTTTATATTCTATATTGAATTACGTTATCCCATTTGATTAAAGTGTCAGATACATTATTTCGTCTCAGAATAATTATATCATTTCGTGAATTAATTAATCGTACAAAATTTGCGGCCGAAAAAAGTCAATTTAGAGCTACGTTACTATTACTTCATCAATAATTTATAGATCGGAGTATCGGGTCGACGAATTTTTTTTTTTTCGACAGACTTATCAAATGTGTGCGAAAAAGCGACGCACGTTGATTTACAAAAAGCGTTTGAAAAGTTCGCACTCGCGAAAACGTCAGAAACGCGATGCGAACACTTTTTTTTATTATTTAATATATTGTGCAAAATTGTCCGGAACGCCGAAATACTATACCTTTCTCGGCAGGAGTTCTCTATCAACAAATCGATCGCATAACTGCTCTTCGTGACGCGTGCGTGTGTGATACGCTTTGTACTTATTCCTGGTTAACAATTAATGTCGTCGAGGTTTGCTTTACTTAATTAAGACAACCCTCTAATTGCCGTCATAGTCATGCGGCGGTGCGTGATGATGCATGTGGATGTGTGGAGGCAGTTCGACTACAGGTACGGCCAGACTGCTTCTCTGTAACATGATTATGTAATATGTAATTGTAGAAATGTCCACGTCTGTGTAAAATTTTCGAGAGAGAATTTTATGTAATATTATTACATAATATATTATATGTTAATTTACAGAATTTTAGAACCCACAAGTTATCCTAAAATAATTAATAAATATCATTAATAAGAATTTGAAAAATTCAATATATTAAATTAAATTCTATTAAATAGAACATAATAATTAAGTAATAAAAAATTTTATGTAATATTATTACATAATATATTATATGTTAATTTACAGAATTTTAGAACCCACAAGTTATCCCAAAATAATTAATAAATATCATTAATAAGAATTTGAAAAATTCAATATATTAAATTAAATTCTATTAAATAGAACATAATAATTAAGTAATAAAAAATTTTATGTAATATTATTACAGAATATATTATATGTTAATTTACAGAATTTTAGAACCCACAAATTATCCCAAAATAATTAATAAATATCATTAATAAGAATTTGAAAAATTCAATATATTAAATTAAATTCTATTAAATAGAACATAATAATTAAGTAATAAAAAATTTTATGTAATATTATTACAGAATATATTATATGTTAATTTACAGAATTTTAGAACCCACAAGTTATCCCAAAATAATTAATAAATATCATTAATAAGAATTTGAAAAATTCAATATATTAAATTAAATTCTATTAAATAGAACATAATAATTAAGTAATAAAAAATTTTATGTAATATTATTACATAATATATTATATGTTAATTTACAGAATTTTAGAACCTACAAGTTATCCCAAAATCATTAATAAGAATTTAAAAATTCAATATATTAAATTAAATTCTATTAAATAGAAAATAAAATTAAGTAATAAAAAATAAAAATATAGTCGTTAATAAAATTATGATTAAAAAAGCCATTATTTATAACATGTTTAATATTCTTTTAGTCTTTATTAATTATTTATTGATTTATTATTTTTTTTATCGATTTTGTGAATTTTGAAAGTCTGTAAATTATAGAAACCAATATTCACTTTCATTATTACAGCAACGTATGAAATACAATTTAAAAATGTTTTGATACATTTTCAAACGTTGCTTAACACATTTTTAACGCGGAATTTCATAAATTACGTTGATCTTTTAATAACACTTTAATAAAATCTCCGTCTTGTAATATTGCGCGAATTTTTTCCTCGGAAAAAGAGTGATATAATAAATTCTATACCCGTCCCGACGAAAAATAAATTCGCTCGTCAGATACACGTTAATTAAAGAACATTTGAATGCAATTATGAGCTTAATGAACATAAGGATGTAGAAGCTCGGTGAATATAAAATATAATTGAATAACGATATAACGAGGAGGCTTGACTTCTCTCCTGGTTAAAGCTGTGATAATGCGATATAATATAAAGTCTGTTGCGAATATAAAAGATAGGAATATCAACTTGACCAAAGAGAAGATGATCAGAGAACTATGCCGTCACTAAAAATCTTTTTCTGAGAAAAAATATATCAGGTTTTCCATTTCACATATATTGTATTATATTTTCATTGTAATATAAATTTTCACGAAGCTTATGCAAATTTATTCTAGCGTCACGAATAAATATTCGAGAAAAAATATTTTTGATGCTTTTTTTATATGTTACATGTGTAACATGTGTTACATATGTATATAATATATAAAAATGTGACATGAATATGTATTATAATATTATATAAAATTCTCCAAGTTCCGAACATTTCATATTTCACACTTTATATTCCGATTGGACAGATACATTTTCATTTATGTATAAGACAAACACATTGTTTCTATTTATCACAATATCGATTTTTATCTTTAGTTATTCATTCATTTATTATTTCATTATTACACGTATTTAATAATATACATATAATGATTACATAATTTAAACATGATTATTTAATTTAAAATCATATCATTATACAATAATTTATGATGAAATTAATTGATTCGTATTTAATTATGTTGACATTTTGCAAAAAAAGCATCAGCTAATAGACCCATCAAATCGACAATCGATGGAGAAGCTCTAATTTTATAATTAAATTATAAATATAAAATTTTTATATAAATATAAACTAATAAAAATACAAATATAAAAATTTTTAAAGATTTAAAATTTAATTCTATATTAATTATTTCACTAATAAAATTTAATAAAAATTTTTTTCTATAAAATTCAATTCACTTTTTATCTGTTTTAAATCTTTCTTCACCAAATTAAAAAATGGTTTATAAATAATTAAAAATATATAATTTATAAATCATATTGAACTAAAAAAAATCTATATATATATAATATAATTATTAAATTTTTTATATAAAATCCTATTCTTATAAATAATCCAATTATTATACCTGGGATCTCATCCCATTTATGGGGTGGCAGTGGGATTGTCCGGGTAGCCAATCACGTGCGTGGAGCACTTGTCGCAGGTGCGTTGACGTCGAGACGACGCGTGACAATGTAAGGCACGACAGAGCTCGCGCGCCACCTCCGAGCAGAGTGACTCCTGCTGTTGATTCGATTGTTGCTGATGCGGTTGGTGCTGGTGTTGATGCTGGCATTGTTGCTGCTGCTGCTGTTGCTGCACGGCCTGAGAAATCCCCTGAAGAGAGCCGGAAGTAGGCGAAGGAATCGGAGGCCTCTGCTGCAGCCCACAAGAATTCATTATTTATTTATGCGTTAATTACGCGATTATGAAGGATAATTCTCATAAGGATGTTTTGGAATTAGCGACAAGTAAATAGATGATTAGTTTTCATTCTCTGAAGTATAAATTGCATTTTGAGATATAAGACAAGCAAGAATAAATAATAATCTGATTGTGAAATATTTTTTAATTTTGAAGCTACGATATTGAATCTGAAAATTTTGAAGGAGAATACTTTCTGACCTCCTTACAACTTATTAACAATAAGAAATCAATTTCCATTTTTTCGCTAATTCATTCCACATCTTGTGACACGAAACTATATTAACTATATTTTTTTCGGAGCACATATATATATTTACTAGTTGAAAAATAATCTTAGAACTCTCGCGTGTTGAAGCAAAGGGATTCGTAAAAAGTTTTCGCAATGACGGACCTTTCTTCGCAACTGAGTTTTGGGGGCGAGTTGCAGTCTCATGCTTCAATGGACGATGAGCTCATGCTGATGGGATCCATGGCGTAGCGATGAAACAAAGTTCAGAGAACGTCATGCAATGCATACGGTACGGTTCATGCACATCCCTCAACTCTTCGGAGTTCAATCGGATCGGGATCGTTCGCTTGGACGGACTATGAATATTCCTTGAAAAAGCAGCTTCCTCGTTTATCATGATTTTTACTCGGCAAGATTTCGCAGCGTTTCGTGCAGCCAAGTAATTTTAATAATTAGAATAGCGCAAAAGGGAAAAAGTAACCCGAGAGCTTAAAACTCGAGAAACGAGCGCATCTACGTCGGAGAATTTGGCTCGCGAATTGAGTCGTGCAACGACGAAAACGTGCTGACGGCGATTTATCGAAACCTATTTCAGCGTCTGATTTTCGCGGTCGATGCACTCACCCGTTCCGCCGGTGCATTCCTCCTGGAATTGTAGCAGAACTCGAAGATCGCTATGAGCACGGCGAATGCCAAGCCGCACAGTAGGACCACGAAGATTCCCCTAAGCAGAAAGAAAACGCGATTCTTGAGACGCACGAGACGTCGATAGGGTTTTTTTCTCAAATTTCAGACAAATAAAAAAAATGAATATACATATAAAAGGCAATAAGAGCTAATTAAGTTCTGTTATTAATATTTATTTGTGGAAAAAAAATTTTTAACATAAAATATTACATAAAAAAAAATTAAACTTGGTGGATATTTTTCACTAATAAAAAGGATATTTATTAATATTTTTTTGATTTTCTTGTATCGTTAATACCTGATAACAAAAATAAAAGGAATATAAGAAATCCTCCTTAATTTTCGATGAAGAATTTTTCGCACTTATTTAGATACATCCTGAATACATATAATTGAATAATTAAATAATTTGATAAAATTCTGCACTTAAATCTTGGAATACTCTAGTGTGCATAACATAATGATATGTAATTAAATGGGAATGTTTATTCAAAAGATTTAAAACACAGATCCAACATAGTTATTTTCATGAAGAATGATAATGAGGGTAATGCAAAGAATGTCCGCGAATGTAACGAGGCATTTCTGATTTATGACCCCACGGCGAAAACTCATGGCGCGTATAATTTAGACCTTATGCGCTATTCTGGGAGAAAAGTGCCCACCTATGTTGTCGACGCCTAGAGAGTTGGCTTTATTCTCCTTTCCCTTTTCCGTCCTCATGCAAGTATCCCCCGGACTCTTCCACCATCTGTCATACAGCATCTGAATTTCACCTTTCTCTTGCAACTCCAAAATTGCCAGAGATATCTTGTCCCGCCATGGTGAGCCTGAAAATTTTTTCAAAGAATAAAAAAAACGTTTTAACAAATGTAAATCATCGTTACGCGTGATGGATGTGATGAAATATTTTTATAATATTCAATTTATTTTAAAATTATATTTTATGTACATATATTGATACAGTCAATACATGTTAACATACAATACAGCGCATACAACTAAAATTTTTACGAAATAAAATAAATGTTGAAGGGAAGATCAGTTGAAAATTGAGCTAACATTATTTACAAATATTGTTTTAAATTTGTCGATCATATATTTCTCGTTAAAAAAAATCGGAATTTACTTCTAAAATAAAATTAAAAATTTTGTTCGATAAACTGTTATGAATTACAATGTGTGTAAAAAATCTTTTTATAATTTTTTTATAAAAAAAATATCTGCACATAGACACACATACAAACAAACTTACCCATGGGGGTAGCGATTCCATATCCTTTAGTGTCCAAAAATCCGCCGACTTGTGTGAGATTGCAATCTCTTTGGACGCTGTAATCCAGCATGGTTGACTCCATCAGAAAGGCATAATCACCTGAAGAACTCGTTGGATACCCTCTTCGTAGGTTGGCACAAATACCGATGGCTTCTTGTTTTCCATAAATCGCCACATTTTCTTGTACGTCTCGATCATCGAATCCTTGATCGAACATTATTTCATAATTTAGACTCCTGATTCCTTATTTAAATAATGACAACATAAGTGAAAAACTGTGTAAATACTTTTCTCGCATTATCCGTCGAAGTAAATTAATTTGTTTGTTTTCCAGAGCATACTATAGATTGGTGAAGACTTTTTCAATTTCCAAATTAATACATTAATTAAATAATCATAACTCCGGATAAAAGATCATAAAATCATTATTTTATAATATTATACAATGTAAAGCGTGGGGATTTATTTCAATTTTATATTAACGTTTAATACATTAGTAGTTGCCAAAAATATATTTTACCTAATATTAATTTTATTATTTAATTTTTTAATAATTGTAGGATGACATGAGCGCAAAGGATATTATAATTACGCGTTGACAATATTTTACAAATATTGATGCTAGTATTATCACACTATCTGCTTCGCAAATAAGTAGTCAAAAAATAGTTACCCTGAAAAAAGTCATTGTGCTTCCGCTTTCGAGAGTTCCGTATGCAATGTCCGTTTGGCTGGCGAGGTCTTCGGCATTTTCTATCGGCGTAATCATCCTTTCCACAGTGAGGAAAGCCGCTAGATTTGCAGTGTACGACGAGATGATGATCAAGGTGAAGAACCACCATATGCCGCCCACGATACGCGTGCTTGTAGCCTGATAAGGCGATAAAGCTTTGTGAAAATGCACCGAATTGTGAAAGACACTGATTAATTTGCATCCAATACATCTTGAATTTTGTATTATTTTTGCCAAACGATGAAAGATATTAAAATCGATATTATATCGCAATCTTGTCTCCCGATATTGCAATAGCCTCTTTAAATTTGCATTAACGTTAATTTCTCATTAACGCTGAAAAGCCAATATTCTCCTCGTCTCTTCTATATCTTGCAGTTGTTCCAAGGACTAACGTACTTCATTTTGTTTAATAGTGTTAAATAGTGTTTGAAAACTAATTCAAAGCTACAGTCTGTGCAATTGAAGACTGGAAATTTCTTTAATAGAAAGGCTTGTCATCTTTGCTAAGAAAATTGCAAAATGTTGAGGAAAATATTAACTTTTTTCTAAAATGAATTTTCTCTGATTCAAATCGCGCGTTTTATTGTATTTAAAAATAATGTGTCATGTGTTGTGATTTGGATATATATATATATAATATATATAATACAATAAAGTATATAATTTATTTATATATTATTTCTATCCAGCAAAGAACTTGAACATATGTATATTCAAAATCACTCCAAATAGAGGCAATCAGGATAGTAATTTAGATGATTAATTAGTGTCTGATGATATAATGTCACATAAATTAATCAGGAAACATAAATATTTTAAGATTGCGCGCATTGTTTCAATTATCAATATGAAACAACATCTAATAATTACGTGATGCACAATATAATTCATATAACAATCTATTACGTATAAGCGAAACCAGTGGTGATGAGTTTACTTGGGAAAATAATTATCACGTTGATTAACATAATGCAATAATATTAATGACGATATTTTCATCCGCATATGTAACGCTAAAGAGAAATCTACGTAATTTCGTAGTATACGATTTTTTTTTACTTCACTAATTTTTTTTTTTAAGCTTACACGCTACTTTCGAATGGTGAAAATCTGGGCGCAAACCTTGGGATTTAAATCGCTGCCCTGCTGCATGAGAGTTCCGATGGTGAACCAGAAGCTATTCGATAAAGAGAACTGATTCTCGACAATTTCCGGCCCGGCGTGACACGGATGCGGATTGTTCCATTCGTAGGGACTGAAACGAGCCACGACGAATATCGTCACCGAGACCAGAATGTACGCTGCTAAAACGTACAGCCAGATCTCGATCGCTAATGGATTCATGAAAGAGAAGAGTCGCGCTTGATGCCTGGTCGGTACCTGCAAGGGATTTCATTCTATTTACATCTGCTGATCTTATACAAAATCTAGAGCTAGAGGCATAAATATCTTCGACAAATATATCCATTTTTTTAATGCAAAATATCTTCTTACATGTAAAATTAATATCTTAATTTTTTATATATTTTATAATAATTTTATATAATTTTAAATAATTTTTATATATTAATTATTAATATAAATATTAAAATAAAAGGCAATCAGGATAGTAATTCTATATTACATCTGCTAATCTTATACAAAATCTAGAGCTAGAGGCATGAATATCTTCGACAAAAATATCCATTTTTTTAATGCAAAATATCTTCTTACATGTAAAATTAATATCTTAATTTTTTATATATTTTATATAATTTTAAATAATCTTTATATATTAATTATTAATATAAATATCAAAATAATATAAAACCTGTATATCAATCATCGTAATGTTATGCATGTAAGAATTAATGATTAAATAACTAGGTAACGCGAAAGCTTTCAATAAAAATGTTCATGCTGTTTTATTTTAATTAATAAATAAAGTGTTGTATTTTATATATTGTGTATTCATAAAAGAGAGAATAATTTTGCGTTAATATAGCTTAATTAATTCATAATATCTATATCGGAGAAATATGTATACTGATGATAAACAAAAATTTTACGCGGATAGTTCAACGATTCTTAATTAAGTTTGATGACTAGCGTATCAATATTGATTTATTATTGTGCTGATATAATAATGCGGAACTTGCTTTGGCCGCATTGAATTTTTATTCAATTGTACTTTTGTTGAGATTTTATATTTAATTATGTGTTTTCACATACATTTATATCCATAATTCCAAATATTCCGAATTTTTGTGTACTCTTAATGCATAATATTATATAAAATAATTTACATATCAAGTTCAAATTTATTTGTGTATATCTGTCATAAATGTCGCGGAATAACAATAAAATAGAAAAAATATAAAGAGAAGTAACGTAAAAAAAAAATTTAAAATGCATACACACTATATTGTGCAAGAAAATAAACTAATAGAAATAAATATATATATATATAATATATATACAAAATAAAAATAAATAGAAAAAGGTTTATTGAAGCTCTCTATTGGGAGAGCAGCGAGCTATTTGTTCAATAATTTTCATAGCATTATAGTATCGATCCAATGATTTTTTATTCATAGTGTATCGGCGAATACACTAACAATAAGTCCCAGGTGTGGATTCTTTTTCGTTGCGAGCGATAACGTTTGTACAAGCGGAATTAGCAGATGCAAAATTCAACATTTGTTCTTGCCAGCGGATATTGATTCAGAGAATAATAAAAAACGCTGAAAAAATAGCTTTTAGCTAACAAATAGCTATTATTTATTAATAACAAAGAGATATAAATAGATAATTTTTTTCATTCTATATGCAAAATGCAAAACTATCCCGAATTTGCATATCGAATTCATAATAATAGATCGGTTTATCTTATATTTGAGGTCAATTTTGGCATAAATAATAAGACGATAATTCTAATGTACGTGTGGAATCGTAATGGATAGGTGACAGGATGATTAAAGGACGCTTTGAGAATACAGGGAACGGCTATGGCTGCAACATTAATTGCAATTAAACGATCGCCTTACATTAATTAGAAGGCGCGCTTGCGCCTGTCGACGTCGATTGGTGCAATCAACGAAAAGAGACTCGCACTCCTTCTATCTCTCATTCTTTCTCGTGTTTGCCGGAGGAAAATTCTACTCAGGCGGAAACGAGCCTTCAGTCCGCATTGGAAAGCAAGCTATCGTCATCAGGGCGATGAAGAAGCTTCCGTCGTTTTAATCGATTTATGAGAAGTCCACTTACCGGCTTTCTCACACCTTCATTTTACTCGCCATTTTGGTGAAAATGTAATTATAATGAGTTATCTCAAGTAATTGACTAGTTCCATCGATTTTTATCATTATTTGATAAACAGTTGCTTCTTTTGCAATCAAATATGCAAGAGAATGTCATATATTAATAAGGAAAAATAGGTCACTAAACGAGCAGGGAAATGTTAAATGTTAAACGACCTTTCAATTATAATATGTTAAAATCAAAATTATTTAACATCTAAAATTTCCTTGCTCCTTTAGTCGGTTTAATTTTTCCTTATTAATTTTTGATTTACGCGAACCTAATATAATTATTTTAAAATGTCATATATATTTTCCCTAATCTTTATTTGATTGTAATGTCAATCTCGATAAGAGACGTTTATTTTTCTTATTAATTTTTGAATTTACGCGAACCTAAATAATTATTTTAAAAAATGTCATATATATTTCCCTAATCTTTATTTTATTGTAATTATAATGAGTTATTTCAAGATAATTGACTAGTTCATCGATTTTTAATTATTTGATAAACAGTGCTTCTTTTGCAATCAAATATGCAAGAGAATGTCATATATTAATAAGGAAAAATAGGTCACTAAACGAGCAAGGAAATGTTAAATGTTAAACGACTTTTCAATTATATGTTAGAATTGAAATATTTAACATCTAAAATTTCCTTGCTCTTTTAGTCGGTTATTTTTTCTTATTAATTTTTGAATTTACGCGAACCTAATATAATTATTTAAAAAATGTCATATATATTTTCCCTAATTTTATTTTATTGTAATTATAATGAGTTATTTCAAGATAATTGACTAGTTCCATCGATTTTTATCATTATTTGATAAACAGTTGCTTCAGTCTTCTTTTGCAATCAAATATGTAAGAGAATGTCATATATTAATAAGGAAAAATAAGCCGACTAAACGAGCAGGGAAATGTTAAATGTTAAACGACCTTTCAATTATAATATGTTAAAATCAAAATTATTTAACATCTAAAATTTCCTTGCTCCTTCAGTCGGTTTATTTTTTCTTATTAATTTTTGAATTTACGCGAACCTAATATAATTATTTTAAAAAATGTCATATATTTTCCCTAATCTTTATTTGATTGTAATGTCAATCTCGATAAGAGACGTTTATTTTTTCTTATTAATTTTTGAATTTACGCGAACCTAATATAATTATTTTAAAAAATGTCATATATATTTTCCCTAATCTTTATTTGATTGTAATGTCAATCTCGATAAGAGACATTTTTGCGAGTATAAGAAAGACTCTGTTCAAGTGTAATACATAGTCTATAATTAATTCTACAGTGATTTGCGACGGAAGATTATCACGTTGCTGTCGCCTGACTGGGTAATGGTAATTGGCTTAATTATCTTCATTAAGCAATTGACTTGTGTCGTCGGCAGCTGAGACGAACAACTTCATTTGGACATTGTATGAGAGATCTTCGAGACAATATATGCAATTACATCCCTTTCTCTTGTATATCTATTCCCATTATCGTAATTATCTATGCTACAATGTGGAACCAGTCAAGAGGATTAAAGGATTACAACGTGAAAATATAAAACTGGATAGAATGTGCGGAACGGAAACGTCAAGAGAGATCAATTTTTGAAATAAAGCGTAAGTGGAGTGCAATTAATTATTCTGAACATAATAATTAAGAAAAATCTTTCCTCAATGGTAAAAATCGTTTGGTATGTAACATATTTTAAATTTGAATTTAAAATTATTTGTTGCGATGAAATGTATTAAAATTATAATTATTTTTATGTAACTTTTTATAGATTTACTTGAAAAGGGCTGCAATGACAGCCGAAACGTTGTATTTTAACTAATTATTTATAATAAATTTTTATTAATTATTACTGGCGAACCTTAAGGATTATTATCTATAATAATTAAGTCTATTGATTTTCCAGAAAGTTTTATATGTTTCATTATCATTATTAAACACAATTACTCTAATAGAGTTTAATACAGTTCCTTATTAAAATAACAGTCTGATGAGATGGCAAAAGCGAAATATAGATTTACATATCGCGGAAGGAAATTGTACCTTCATTTTACAGAGATCGAGAGAACAAACGGGTCGAGATAAAAAAAAAAAAAAAAAAAAAAAAAAAAATGAGAAACTGCCCGTAAATTTTGTTCGGTCCAAATGTCCGATCAAGCTTTTCCCGCGGAAAACTGAGAAATGAGAGATGAGCCGAGGGAAGCGAAGCGACACAGCGGGACGATCTCGTCGTCGCGAAAATTTTATTACAAAAGCTCGTGAAATTAACTTCTCCATCGGTATCGTTCCACCCCCTTTCATCCCCCTCTGTCCACCCACCTGCTCGGTGCAATACCATTATTAACTTCGGAGTAAGCGAATCCCACCGTCGCTCGTTACGGTATAAAGTGCAGCTGCCCGAGAGAAGTTAACTCCGTAGATCTCAGCATCTCGAATTATTTAGCGCGAGTCGAAACTTGAAGGGAGAGAAAGAGGGTAGGTAATTCTTGCACTGTCGTTCGAATCGATCGCGGAATCCGCGAGTCGGAAGAAATTCCCTGCGGGACATTGTGAGAATAATTAAAGCTTCAAGCGGATAAGACAGGATTGTGAGAAGGGACAGTTGGAGTTGGATATATGCATATATAGGGAGAGAGAGAGAATGGGATTCTGACGAGAAAAACGGCTCGTCGAACAAATATTGAATTAACCGGTTCGCTAAATTCGACGCATATGCGCCGCGATCGATGATATGTACATTCCGATTATTAAATCATCTACGCGCCATCACTTGCGAGAACGCCTCTAATTAGTCTGTTCCCTCGCTTCTCTATCAGCCCCACAACACGTGCTGCTTGCATTATATATAAGCGAGAAACGCATATGTGCACACTTATGCGCTCGAATGCATCGCCAAGATATTACTGTGATAGCGCGATCTTATAACCGAACAACTGAATTATAACGAGGATCCGATTTCTGTCAGAGATATATTTTTGCTTTGTTATTTTTTTCTTCATACATAATGCGTGCATTTTTTTAATTATTTACTAAAGTAATTTCAACACTGAAAAGAATGACTAAATTAATAAATATTTATTTGGTTTGAAAAGGATTTTTTTATATTAAATAATTATATTAAATAAATATATTAAATAAATATATTAAATAAATATTTTTCGTATTAAATCAATATTATTAGTATCAAATAAATGATTCATTTGGCAGTAATGAAATAAATACTTATTCAAATTTAATAAATTCTTTTTCAGTAAATAATTAATTTGTATTATTTTTCAAGAACGAATCTATAAAAATTTGTAGCACTGATCAATTCGTAATAAAATAATGTATGTATTTCAAATAAATTATTTGACAATAATTTTATTGAACGATGTAATATACACGGAGAGAATTTTCTCTTAGAATTTACCCTGAAAATCATGGTAATCGTGGGACAATATGGAAATTGGATACTGGAAAAATTTTGTAAGAATTTCTCTGATTAAATTATATTTACCTCAATAAAAAATATTAATATGTACATAGTAAATTAATTATCGAATATATTTCATATTTTATTGTAATAGATTACCATGATTTTCAGAGTAAATTCTAAGAGAAAATTCTCTCTGTGTATATTTAAATTAATATCTTATTAGCAATAATTATAAATTTAGTTTAAATTTATTTAATAATAATAACTGCATTATGCATATTGTACAAGTGTTTCAACGTGAATAAATAATCTGGTCTCCGCATTAAAAAAATACTCTGAACGATTCAGTATATAATATATAAAATAGATATTAAGCCGGACCATATATCAGTTATTACTACTTGACGTTAATAAGTCTTACAGTTTTTTACACGTAAACGCAATTAATATTGACACATTCGATTATTAATTGCTTCAGCAAATTTCAGGGGAGTATTATACGCATTATCAGCCAGTGGTCGTTTCACGGGCAAGTAGATAAGGACTAGTTATGGTCAAACCAAAGTCAGACGGAATTACAGTCATATGGATAACGACTCCCTCCATTATTTCGACGACATTATCCCTCGGATAAAATTACTTGGCCAGCAAATTTGCTGTCCATCTCGTCGAGAGGTCGCGAAAACATACCCTTTTTTTACATCCACAATTTGACTTGATATCGTCGAGCGCGAATATTGAAAGAAAAAACACGAAGGCGCGAAATATCGAAAGAGATGTCATGTTTCACATAACTTTCATCGACATTGCGTTGATCCTTGAACGAAAACGAAAATAGCCTAACAATAACAATAGGGGCTACATACGCAAAAAAAAAAAACAAATAAGAATAACAGATGCGCGACGTGGAAAAATACACGGAAAGTGGGAAAAAGCTCAACGAGACCGGCCGGGTGAGAGAATCAAGATTCGCGACAACAATGCGCCGTGGGGATGATGCGGAGGAAATAAAAATATGAGCTATCAGAGGGTAGAGCGCCATTTCCAGAACCGGGCATTATGCGGTGGCTGGCTCATACGAGATAGCTTTAAATGCGTCTTCGCTCGGAGGCGGTTTGGACGCGCGGATATAATTGCTACCTTGTGCAACGAGATTAATTCCGACGTGGATACGCGGTTACGAGGAGATATTGTCCCTCTCGCTGCGAGAGAGAACTTACCTTGAAGAGGATCGAGATGCCCAGATTCATGAAAGGCTTCGTGAAGTCGATGACGCTCTCCCGCGCGTAGTTGATTGTCATCGAACCGACAGCCAGATCAGCCTTCTGCGAAATTAGAGGGAATCATGAAGATAGTAATTTAATAATATGTGTATATTATTAAATATAAATGATATGATATGTAATAATATATATACGAAAAGAATGAAGTGCACATTTATTGGTCTTTTTCTACACATTTTTTTAGCGATGCAAGATATGTCAGATATGATTAGTGTAAAAATTGACATATTGTTGTGTAAGAAACTTATTGATTTTTATAAATTAATTTGTATCGATTTTTACAATGATTGTCTCTGACAGATCATGTATTATTGGGAAAATGTGTAATTCTGCAGAATTAATATGTAGAAAAAGATTAATGAATGTGTACAATTTTAACTACTTAATTTTTTATAGGCAAAGATACGAATTATATATATATATAATATAATATAATATATATATAATATATATATATATATATATATAATTATATATAATATATACATTATATATAATATTATATATAATATTATATATATATATATATATATAATATATAATATATAATATATATATAATATAGATAATTATATATATATATAATTATCTATATTATAATAAATAAATGTATACTATTAATGTTCAATTAATTTATCTCTCAATTCTAATTATAATATATTATAAATTATATGTATTATTATATAAATAAATTATTAACACAGTTATCTAAATTTATTAATTAATATAATAACAATACAGCGATATTGCGGGATGTTGATTATGCTTCTGATTTATTCGCTCGGTTGACAGATGCGCGCGCTCGAAATTATTTAGATTTCGTGCAGCAGGCGAAACAGCTGACTCGGTGACCGAGCTGTTTCCACTTGATTGAATGAAGTCACCTGGGGAAAAGTGCGTATGCACATTTGGTACCTAAGTAAGTGAGTGCTTTTTCAGCGTCTGCGAAAGTCGCGCTCGACAGTTCGGTTAGATTTATTTCCGGCTTGCGTCGCAGCCGGAAGAACGGATATCTGGGTCTGGGGAATGCACCCCGAGAGATAGGGAAATCCCCTGTCTTTTCCTTTCGCGCGTACGTACATCATGGTGCACGGTACGTTATATATTTCCTGTAAGTACACGCGAATGTACACGTCGCGCGACAATTTTATTGCGCGATGTCGGCGAAACGCGATTTATGCACCCTCGCGTTCTTAATATTCGCGAAACGTCGATTTTCAGTCGCGGAACGATACGTAACGCTCGATTTTCACGCCTTACGTATCTATTTCGAAAAGTTACGGCTGCATTTCAATTGTGCGATGCGCGTTTAAACGAAAAGCACTGCCTCTTTTGGCTATTTGTCATTTCACGCCTATTTATTTTACTTGAAAACGGAACTGTTACTTGATTCCATTTTTATTTCCTCTCCCTTTCTCTCTCTCTACAGGTGCTAAATAATATTAAATAATAATTAACATTATATGTGATATTTTATACGTTATGTGATATCCTCAAATGCATTAGTATAATATTTTTCGATTCTATTTATCGCTCTTCATATTCTATATATGAATTTATATCCTCATTATTGTTCCTGATGATAAACAGAATATTAATTTGCATAACTATCCTATTGTTTATCTCTTTCTATTATATATTATTGCATAAAAAGAAGAGGTAAAAAGTATTAATAATTATAGTAATAATTTATTTAATAAAATTAAAATACCTTTATTATTAATATAATATCGTCTCGTATTCATTTCGATAATTTCATTATATTTATTTTGATGGAAGTACACAGAGAGAATTTATGCTGAAAATCATAATATTCATAAGATAATATGATATTAAAAGAATTTTATAAGAGTTTTTATTAATATTTACCGTAATAGAAAATATTAATATATCTATTACAATAATATGTTCAATTAATTTTACTATGTATTATAGTAAAATTTACCATGTACATATTAATATTTTTTATTGCGATAAATATTAATCAGAGAAACTTTTATAAAATTTTTCTAGTACTATGCATATATTGTCCTACAATTACCATGATTTTCAAGGTAAATTCTAAGAAAAAATTCTCTCCGTCTATTATTTGAAGATTCTTTTTTAGAAAAAAATGTTTTATAATTCCTCTATATAAGTATTTTAAAAATAATGATTAACGTTTAAATAAATGTTAACGCCAATAAAAATATTTATATTTATTAATTCTACAACAGGACATTATATGCATATTATGTTCCTAAATAACTTCCCTATCAAAATCCATGACATAAAAAAATCTGCGTTAACAATTTAATTTTTTTCTCTCACGAGTCTTATTATAAATGCTCTATAAAATTTGTCCTATAAATTACTATAATTTTCAAGATAAATTCTAAGAGAAAAATCTCTCCGTCTATTATATAAAGATACTTTTAAAAAAAAAAATGTTTTATAATTCCTCTAATTATTTTATTAAAATAACGATTGACGTTTAAATAAATGTTAACGCTAATAAAAGTATTTATATTTACCAATTCTACAACAGGACATTATATGCGTATTACGTTCCTAAATAATTTTCCTATCAAAGTCCATGATATAAAAAAATGTGCGTTAGCAATTTAATTTTTATTCTCTCTCACGTGCCTTATAAATGCCCTACAAAAATCGTCCCGTATAAATGCACCGCGAGTGAATGGAGATTTCGACGTGGAAGATCTATCGAGCGACGCGTCGATATATCGATGTGAAACGGTACCGCCGCCGGTTCATCCCGCGAAAGATATTTCAGACTCGCAATGTCACTAATTCTCGCGCGTGATTCATGCGACCCGCGGATGACGGTCGCAATAATTTGTTGCGGCATGCTCTCGCGCGATGACAGGCACGGCGCCATTGCGGAGCCGTCAATCGTTTATGAAATGTATGCACGTATGTATGTGTGTGTGCGTGTGTGTAAAGAGCAATGCTGTTTTCGCGCATCGACGTGTCGGGAGAGAAGTCGAACGTGCCAGGGAAACCGATTAAAGCTGCTAGTATGCTAGGGGATATTAGCGGAAAAAAAAGGACGATATCAATTTCCTGTATAGGATTTCTTTTCGCGAGAAATTCTCTGCGATACTTTTATATGTACGCGATGTTTGCATTATTTATTTTAATATTTTTTCTGCTGAGAATATCGTTTTTTTGTCGATTAATAATTTCTATGACGACAGTGATACATCGCGAGCGAGAGTTTTCCTTTTTTTTTGTTTTGTTCATTCGTTTTTAGCTTCGTTACTTTTTCACGTGGCGCCGACAAACGATATCCCATTTATCAACGTGTTTCAGATAAAAAAATGAAATATCGATACATCATCCTATTCAGGAGAATTCACGTGCGGGAAATTAATATCTCATGTAACATTTTGCATATTTCGCGTGTCAGCGAATATACTCCAAAAACTTGTTGCTTTAATTGCAAATTAGTGTTATGTAATATTTATATTTTCTCTCTCACGTATAAAAAATATAATATTTCTGTTCGAATATAATATATCTTTTCGACAGTGAAAATGTTGAAACAATCCGTAGTAATCGCGATTAAATTCGGGACAGCATTCCATTCTGTGTCATAATTAAATTGAAAAGCAGATCATCAATCAGAGTTATCATTTGATATAAAATCAAGCAGAGTTATTATTTGACATACAATTTTAAAAGTTCTTGTTTATACCATAAACAAATATTTATTGTTATTATAATAAAAAATTACATCATAAAAATTATTAAAAGATTTTTTAGATTTAAATATATATAAAATATAATAAATTTTCATATAAAAAATTATGTATATTTATTATGAGAATTTTATTGTAATTTGTACTATAGAGCTTTATTGTTACGCATCAGATCGGTGAATCTATTGCATGTATACATATATGTATAACATTCTCTGTATAGATTAATCACCAGAAATTGGTTTGTAGATTAATCAGCAGGAATAAATTAAAACGCAATTCAGAAAAAAGAGTTAATAAATTATGTGTTAATTTAACTTATATAAGAAAAGATTGACGAAATTATAGATCTTTATATATATACATTTTTTTTCATAAAAACAATGAATTACATATTTTTCTTTAAAATAAAAAAATATATATCAAGTAAATAAAAGTGGTAAAAATTCTCGATTTTTTTTGTTCATGCGCATTGACATATTCATAAACATGATTAAAACTTTCTGGTGATTGTTTCTATGTTATATATTAAAATATACAAATATTGTGTTATTGTGAAATGGCTCATTTTGAAAACAAAATAATTCTACAAATGTTTTGCTCCGAGCAACTCGCAAAACATAATACAATATTTAAATATACTGAAAAATTAAAAATAAAACAAAATCGTTTTGTAAAAGTGTTAAGTAGAAAACCAAATCTCTAAGAGAATGCTCTTTAAGAAAGTTTTAAACCTGAATAAAATGAGAGAGCAATATTTTTATTTAATAATTAGTTTTTTTTAGGGAATTAATAATTAATTAATTTAAACATTTTTTTATGATTTGAATGGTTTCAATTTTGAATGATTTTATTTTACAAATTTTTCGCTAAAATATTTTTATAACACAGTTTATTAAAATCAAAGTTTACTTGATCTAAATATGAATTTTTTATATAATTTTAAAATTTGTTTTTAATCTGGAGTATATTTATTTTATTGTTAAATGCTATTTTAATTTTTTATTTTGCTACCTATTTTATTCATATCAAATGTTAGCAGTTTTTTTCATAGATCATAAATCACACCTTTTATCAAATCGTCCAGAGTGTTGTTCTTTTTAATAATATCAATTTTATTAAAATAATTGCTCGTCAATCTCGGAGTAGTAAAGAAAGAGTTAAAATCGATTTTTCAGTACTGAATATACAATTTATTATTTTAATTCATACTGTAACGATAAATTTATATTACGAATGTTCTATAATTTATAATGTTTGTTCGATCATTTTAATATTAATATGGAACTGTTATTGACAGCTTGAATACACGCAATTAGTTAATGAAAAGTTGATTTTACA